GCCCTGTATGATTCAACATGCAGTGCTAACTATTTAATGTATCAGATGACTCAATGTAAGTCCCAGGTCAATCATAAATTCATAATAGATCACCTTTTCAACTGGCAAAAGGAATGAGCTGAAGTATGACTTTTGAATGGTTTCAAAACTGTTTTTGTTAACAAAAACAAGCTTTCCTGCTTGTCTATGAAAACAGTTTTTAATGCATGCAAGATGTAAGATAAACATCTGCCACCTCAACAGACATTTAACTAGTTAATAAAGATTGCATGGAATATAAATGAACTTATTTTCAGTCTTCAGTCCATATCGGAGTGGTAAGGGCAAGTGTCTTTAGAAAAATGACAACATCAAGGACACATCCTGCTGCACCACAGCAGGATGGTGCCTTGAATGTGAGTGCAGTCAATATGAGCAACACACTGTATGGTGAGGTACAGTACTTTCTCTTTAACACCAACATATTTATGTTTCTGAAGTTACAGGTCTTCTCTCTTGTTACCATTCGCTTCCAAAAGGTTCAAAATCAGCAAGTTTAAAGTATAGCATAAAGAAAAAACATCACCCATTGTTGATCTTACATTGACCAGCTCTCTTTGTAGTGTTTAAGAAGTGAATGTTTAAAGAGCTCATTGTAGAACACACACAAACTGGGCTTTTGCAATGTAAAAGTCATCAAAGCAAATCAGTGGGCTTCATCATTGTGTTTATGCTCTTGCGGCTTTTCTGCATGTATAATTAATAAGATTTTTCTGCAAGTTGATCACACTCTTAAGATCAGTCAAAAAATGGCACAGAGTTTAGTTTAAAGATATTTACAGTAAAAGATATAAGTTTACTACTAAATGGATTGTTCAGTAAGGTCTCAGCTTGGTGGTGCTGACTAAGATCAGTTTAATTTAAAGCACACAATAGTGTAAGTAGTATCAGGTTAGGGGTTATCACTTATCAATTACTCTCTGGGCAAGTGTCAGCTGGCCTTAGGCATTTGAAGTAATGGTGTCTCCATGCTACAAAAGTCGTGCTGTTTGCATTTCTGACTTGTAGTACAGAAGGAAGTTGATACCATGGCTTGCAAATACACGTGGTGAGACGTGTCAAGTACATTAACTTTGTCTCTTTTTCCCTTTTCAGCCGGTACAGAGATTGTAGCAGAGATTATGGATAAATATAAGTTCTTAACAGTTTTATATATAAGCAGGATAATAACAAATATACTGTATAATACATTTGAACCAACAGAATGCTAAGAAATACTTAATGGAGCTTTAGAGTTTGTACAGCAAAAACATTCCACCAGGAGAAGGTGATACGAAGCAGGAAGTCTGTCGCACCCAGGCAGCTAATCAGCATCTGCCATGCATACCACAGACAAGACAGATACTTTTCACAGTAGCTGTTGCAGCTGGTTGCCTAATTATTAATGGGAACTGCACAAACTCAGATATCGGCAAAGAACATTGTTTCATGTATCATAGAAGGTTATACTGTAGCAGTAGGGAGAAAAAATATATACAGCATATAAGGGCATGTGTGCCTTTGTTTTTTTTTATTAACAATGTTGTAGATGTGGTTGACATTAATACTTCTTTATATGAAAATTAAGGGCTATTTAGTGTTCAGTATAACTGCTTTCTTGAAAATAATTTGATTTTTGTGTTACAGGTGTGTATGAATACACTCATCTTCTTGCTTCCTCCAGTGAGAATGCTGGTTGTTGCTTTACTGTAGCTTTCAAGGCATATTTTGTCTGCCCCACGTGTGAGCCACAGAGAGCTTTACAGAATATCTTGGACAGAATTGTGCAGCAGGTTTTCATGAGAACATCATACTGGTTACAAGAGTTCCCCTAGCTCTGTAAATAGGGGTTTGTTTGAGTTCCGAGTTAGTTCTCGTTATCATTTTGGTTGCTAACTGGTCTGTACCCCTTTTATTGTATTTGCCTCCAATAATGGAATTTTTTTTTTAATGCACATGTTTTTCTACTGTTTATTTACATGATCTTACACAAAACTGACTTTTTAGAGATGATTTTTCTGCTAATATTGGGGAAAAAATAAATTTTAACAATTACTGTACCTTAATCTCTAACCTTAGGAAGCATTTTACGCTTTTTTGGATTTCCACTTCATCAGCACTTAGGCACAAAACACCCAATATGCCATATTTAATTAAGGCTTAAGGAGAGTAATGAATTCACACATTATTCGGTGCAAAAGCTTTAGAACTGGAACCCAAATCTCAAAGTGGTTTATAATCACTTAATGAATTGTGTGAGAAAAACATATATCTCCAGAGGACCATTTAATTGAAAATAAACCTACAGACAGAATCTGAAAGGTTTTCTACCTGTTCCATAGAGCAAGCACAGTCTTGAGTGAGTGGAAAAGGTAACCTGAAACCTGCAGTGTGGCGTGTAAGACAACCAAGAAACAGTAGCAAATTGACGTTTCTGTCTTCATCTTATAGTAAAGAATATCTCCCTCTGTTATGAATAATGGTTGCTAAGGTCTGCTCTGAGGCGTATGGGAAGGAAAATGGGTTACTGAGGCTGTTCAGAGATAAGCACTAAAGGACAAGGCAATTAGTATAGCAGAGCTCTTCAAAAATTGAAAAAAAAACTAGTGATGGAAAGGGCTGAATGAAAAAAAGGAAATCATACCTAGAGGGACTAGGATAAATTACATAAAATCTCCACTGGATATACTGTAGAAAAGGATTTTGGCAAACGAAAAACCACCATCAAGAGATGTGGTATATTAGGAGCTTACGGGTTTGTGTCTGAGATTTTAAGGTTTGGAGGCAAGGATATCTCTAATATGTCAAGCTATGTGTGTCTGTAAAGATCACTTAATGGTAAAAGCTTGAATACCAAACTTTAAGTCCAGCAATTTATATACTGTATGAGCCTTTTAGAGTACTTGAAAATTACTGTGTATCACATTGATTATGATTATTTATGCCTTACCCATTCGTATTGGCCAAAGTATTTAACCTTAAATGAGTGACAGTATCCTATCCACTGAAGTAATTCTATGCACCATTAAGCCCAGCTGCTTCCTAAGGTAGGAAGAGTAAATTGGCCAGGCACTTCCTAATTCCTATTGGGAATTTCTCAAACACTTTAGTGACTCGATATTTGCGATACCCAGGATTAACGATCCTGCCAGCAGGAATCTGCAATTTGTAAACACAAATGCATTATTTGACTTAAGAACTCTAATGTATGAGTAATGTGTATAGTCTATGTTTGTGGAAGCAATCAAAGAAATTGCAGTAGGGATCTTAAATTTCAGTCCTTGGAGTTCCCAGTGTCTTTAAATGATTATCTTTTTTCAGCTGTGAGAAAGAGATAGGCTGGTCCAGTTAGGAAAATAATTATATTGGTAATCACTGAAAACAAAAGGAGCATGTTGTCCTTAAAGTATACAGTACAAAAAAAGAAATTGAGGCAAACCAAGGGTTTTCTTCATTTAACTGAGAACTTTTAAGAAAACTGTGTGTCTGTCACTGGTGTCAGAGAAAAGATATGCAAGAAAACACTAAATTGTGTTCTTGTGCCCAGTGTTTTCATAGAGGAAATGTGACTTTCACATCACCTCCACCATATAATAATGCAGTTAGGAGCACAGGCAGTTCAATACAAAATAATCAATTGAGCTCAAGACATTCCGGACAGCAAGTATTCAGTGTGTTTAAGGTGTATACAGTATTTCTTTAGTAAAAAAATAGACAGAAAGACGGTGATAGGGTGCAATAGTCATAGTATATAATAATAGATTTGTTAAGTATAGTTATATATTACGGGTAAATATGTGACAGGAAGAGCAGGGATGTTTATAATGTCTATAACTAGCATATTCCCAAACGTTTGTGCCTTAAATAACAGAATTCCAATTTTTATACTCCTCATGCGACCCAAAAATGCCTAGTCCCTAGTGCTGTCATCAGCTGGTAAGATTACACAACCTTTTAACAGATTTGTTACAGGACCAGTAGATATTTTCTCATACCTACAATATACATTTTTGCTTCCTGGATCCATTTACTGTACCAAGTCAATGAGAAAACAGAAAACATACCTCACACTTGGTGCTACTTATGTCTTTCATGAAAATGTCTTCATGAAATGTTTTCATGAAATGTCTTTCATGAAAAACCCAATTAAAAATGACATGTAGAGATGGTTGATATGGTAGAGCACTGTCATGTATCTGTTTACACAATCACGCCACAAAGACCAAGAAAACAATGAAATGATACGCAATTTGCATCCTGAGATAGTATTACTATAAAATAGATATAATTTGGGATTGCAATAGATTAAGAACTTTTCAGTATTGTAGGCTTTGTGTGTAGTAATTACAGTAAATGGAGCAAGACCAAAATGGATTTGACACTAAAAACATGGTGAGGTGCTGCATCAAACTTATGCAGTGATCAATCTCATCCTGATTCATGTAATTAATTCATGTAACACGTAATCCCAGTATAATCTATTTCCCCCTTTAGTAATGCTCAAAGAAAGTAACTTGTTTCCTTCTTTTTTGGATTTCAATTCAGTTTTCAAGATATATATCAGTTTGCTCAGGATGTCTGACATCAGTTTTACAAAAAAAAAAATATTGTAGAGTCACAGCCTATTATTTCACTTAGAATTAGGTGTTATTAATTATTTCTAATAATCTTTGTGTGCCTTGACAAAACAGCCTGATACTGTACCTTTCCCAAAATGCACAGAAATGTGGCTAAAGGGGCCCCTCTGATAAGAGATATTGTAAAGCTATATCAAGCTGAGCAATGTAATGATATATACTGTAGCACACATGGGCTACAGCACTTAAAGAACTGAGTTCCTGTTTTGTCTACGTTATGAATATCAAGAAGACAAACTGTGCACAGATGATTTTAAAGAGCAAAGTGAAAAAGATGCTACTTCGACAGAGCTGCCTGAGGCCAACGCAAGCTGCTAAGCTTTTTCTCTCTTTGTCCTGCATCAGGTCCCTCCAAGAACTGAGAAGCTGCTACGGAAACCCAGCCAGCTTTTTACCTACTGTACGTGAAGTTTAAACTCATCAAGGACGTTTGGACAATGGATTGTTGAGTATTACTTCATTTAATGACATCATAATTCTCGAGAACTATTATTTCAAATGCATGTTTGATGTATAGTTCACAATAGTAAATGCACATTTAGACAAAATTTCCAGGTATGCGCAGAGCCATGTTCTGCGTTTCAGAACGAGGCAACAAAACACCCATTGATGTGAAAAGGTCCTGTTACATTGTAAACAAGCAGGCTTGTGAATACATCTCTATTAATCCAGTAGAAATATTGCTCTTTCTGCTGCACAACCTGTACTTACTCGCTTGTACGTCAAATTACAGTAATCATTACAGTACCTAGTGAGCACGAAGGGCCGCTTCACATTGCAATTTGTGCAAACTCTTTTCATGTCCCTGGCAAGACCAGCAGTTTGAGACACCAATGACCACCATACAGTACTCTCACAAAATTCACTAATTTGGGCTTAATTCAAAATTTGAATATACCATCAGTTAATTTATTTTGTTCCTGAAATTTAATAACCGGTCTGAGAATTTGGAACTGCAACTCTGATCTTTCTAATCCCTGAGTGAAAGATCAGCCATTGGTGTTCACAGCAGATCATTTCACGGATATGTATTCTATTAAGTTATTGCTTGTTATGCATATTTTGGTAATATCAATAAACTATATATCGTATATTTATAGTCAGTGTGTGAGACTGTAAATAATTAGGTTTATATATATTATGTTTGGTTGGTTTCTAAAAGTCATCAAGATAAGTACTCTCCCAAATTACTCTTACAATTTCTGATTGCAAATTAAAACCCAAATCTCCTACAATATCAAAGGGAAATTATGTAGTTTGCTTTCAACAACCAATTAGAACAATCTCTTGCCATTTCATCCTGTCTTAGTATCCATCTTAACAATAGAAATGAGACTCTTCATCCCCACACTGACATCATAAACTTATTGTGTCATTAAGCTGCCTTTTGCCAACTGAGGATTGCAGCACAACAAAGATTTTTTTAGGCCAAGAAGTCAATTAACCAAGCGAGCACTGAAGCAGATAACAACACAGAGGATGTAAGTCATATATTAGGGATCGACAAGGCAATTATCTACAGAGGACATCTTCTGCTGATGTTTTTAGTCTCTTGAAGTAAACATTTTATACAATCCCCTGGGGTTGTAATTGTTTTTCCCTTATAGACATTTGCCAGACAGAACAAAGGGAAGAGTAAGAATTTTGACAAATGCAGTCCGAGCTGAGGTGGAAAGGTGCTGCCACAGGGATGCAGACAATTGTGAATTAGAATTAGACAGTCAGACTTCCAGGATTAAAGGATGTAGATGTTAGAATCAGTGTCCAGTCAGCTATCACTATGAGCATGAAGCTTAGAACAGGACGTCAAAAACATTGCTATAGCCTTAAACTCATAGCTAATCATAAAAGGGGAAACTTCAGTTTCCTATATGCACTGTCTACCAAGACCTGTTGTAACGAAAGCATTCTTTCCGGACCCTATGCGGACGACACAATCCGGGGTTGAGTGAGAATACACGAGGGAAAAAAGGCATGCAGGAAGCGTGGATGAAAACAGGGGGGCGTGTCCATGAAGTGCTGGTGGTCGGGGGAGGTGTGGCCGAGGCAAACGATCCAAAACAGAGTCCAATGCGAAATCCAGGACGAAAGCAAAAGGTCCGAACCAGGGCGGTCCATCGGCAAGGGGTACTGGAACAGAAACAAAAACTTAAGGCACATCCAGGTCCCGGGCTCGCATGATGCGGAAACAATGCAGAGCCCCGAACTGAGTGGGCATCTGGCTTTTAAGGAGGACTGTAAGGAGGCAGGAACAAGGGGCAGGTGCACAGAATCAGGTCCGAAGTGAAAGAGCCGGAGCGCCCTTAAGGAGGAAGGACTACAATCGTGAAACCTGTCTCTTATCTATGTACATCTTGACAATATTTCATTTTCATTTAAATTCATTTTTCTGTCTTATTCAGTTTGGCTGCTTTGCAATGACTTTATTCAAGGAGAATCCACATGTCCATACCAATGTCACCATTACTGGCTGAAAATTAATGTAGATTTAATTCTATTTTTTATACTGTTGTAATTTTCTCCAATCTTTTGTGGTGTAATCCATTTTTCTCTTCGAGCAAATGAGCAAGCCTGGCTTTCATTCCCAAAGATCTCAGCAGATGAAATGTACTCAGTTCAGTCTAAACAATCATTGAGTCACAAAATATAAATTCTTCTTAATCAAGTCCAGCCTAAGAATGTTATTTTTGTAACAAACAGGCCCGGACCCTCTTCACTTAATCGTCACGTTCTGTAGCTCCTAGATGAACTCTATTATTGCTCAGATTCTATCAGACTTCTAAATAGTCACTGCTGTCAAGGATGCTTTTCCACGAATAAATCGCCACTCATTCAAAGGATCAGTGCATTTGAAAGATATGGAATCTGTGAAAAAGATCAAAGCTGTTAAATTAGCCCAGGAAGTGGCCTAGCTGGGAAACTTGTTTCATTTGACACTATGCTCCTGAACAACATGCAATCATACAGCATAGAACTGTAGAAATTTCATTTGCTTACCATATACAATATAATCATATACACGTCTGTTTACAATATACTGTATTAGAGCTAAGCAACCATCGATCAGCCTCAAGCCATGAAAGCTTGAAACCATTTCTGTATTCTGGTACAGACAGAAAACACTTTATTTTATTTTTCTGGATTGAAATTGCATCTGTTCATCCGTTAGAATTTATGGTAGAAATTAGAGCCAGCTTGATGAAGTTCCTGCCCTTTAAGAAAATAAGGGATTCTGATTTGCACAGGTGGATTAAGGTCATAAAAGCTGTGGCCCTTGACTTTTTCAGCCTTTGGAACATACTGTACTTGATTCTGCTTCAATGTGATTTGTCTGATTTCAATCAGATGCCATAGGTAATAATTTCAATTTATTTTTGTTAATCAATTATTTGTAAAGATTGTAAATCATATATAGTGACATTCCTAGTAAGAATGTCTCCATTGTTGTGAAAGCTTTTTGCACAATCTGATAAACACAATAAATTCTGAAGTGCTGTATTGCACATGTATGTCTCTGCATTAATTAAACTGAATCACCATGAAACAGTTGTAGCAAATATAGTCAGCAATTTCTGATCTGAAAGGTCACATAAAGTATAATTGAATTATAAACATTCAAATAATCTGCTATTTCAATATTAATTTAACATGTTCTAAACTAAGCATTAAAGGAGATGCAGCTGCTAAAACCAAGTAACTTTGTGTTAATGTAAAGTATCCATGCTCATATACAGTAGATGACAGTTTAGATTGTAAGACATCCAATAAAGTTAATGATTGTCTGTTAGAAACATACTTACTATAAACATACTGTAACACCAGGTAAGACAGACTAAAAATTCAATTGAAATATTAGGGAAAACAGTAATTACATGTAAAACTACTGTATATCCAGTTAGACTGGAAAAGAACAAAAGTTTGTTTCAAAATAACATTTGACATTTGGCTCACAATAATAGCATGAGAAGTGTGAGAAAATACTACCCTTTCTGCAAATAGAGCACATTATTTAAACCAATCAGACACAAGACCATACTGACATTTATTGACTTTAAGTGGTTAGTAGCATCAATATTTAGTCCAGCGTAGTCCCTCAACACTAGAACAAAAATAGGAAACCTGTAGAACTGGTTGGACTTTCAGAATATGTATCTTAATATGTTTCTTACCCATACTTCAATATAAATTACTTCAATGCAATATAAAGCACCTCAAGAAAGTGCTGACTTGAAGAAATTTCAGTGAAAGAGTATTTTGGGTATCAAAGGTATCTGCATTTGAAATGTTATCTCCTTTTTAATGTGTTGGGATAGTAATATTTAGCACCCTACATGTATCTGCTAAGACTGTCCCCAGGCGTTCTATTGATTCTGTCTGACACTTTCTTTGCAAACTAGGTAACCATTCTGAATAAACTCCACAATGAATTCCCCTGGGATCTTTGCCGCTCAGTCAATTACTCTACAGTCTACTATATCCTATCCTTCTCCGTCCAGGTAATCATGGATGGGCAAAGTTTCCACAGTTGTTCCAGAGAACACATGGAGCTCAAACAAAGATCCCACTTTAGTTCCTATGGATGGGACATTGTACTGATGGATTTATTACATGTTCTCTTCAGGCAGCAGGGCTCAGCAGTTGATGGATGTGTTGATGGATCCATTTATGTAATAAATTATGTTTCACCAGTGTACATTTAGTTTAAATAAAAATCACATTTATTCAGAATTCTGTCTTTAGAGACTGGACAACACCTTCTGAGACAAAGACGAACTGAAACATATATATTTTTACTGTCCCATTATTGAGAAACTGTTATTATGGTTTACAACGAATGAGGCTGAGATTATATCAAACTGGCTGCCACAGTTATACACTGTATTTAGACATTTCTTTAAAGTTGTTCATTTCATTTCATTAAAACAGATCTCTAACTCATTGCATCTCTGTCGATCAGTGTTTGCTATAACACTAAAGTTGAACTAAAAAAAAACAGAAAATGGATTAGCACCTTTTTCATTCATTATATTAACTCTAAATGATGAAAATCATCTGTTAAAATCACTAAAGGCGAAACTGAATGTCTGGTGTTGTCTGTCTCTGAAATAGCATTTCAACAATTTGATCTTAACCTGACAGTTTAATTTACTGTTTGTGCAAAACTGAAAAAATGTCACTTTGTTAGTAAAGTAAAAAATGAAGAATTGATAGCCCTATTACGAAATCCTTAGTCCCTTAAGATTAATTTAAGATTAACTCATTATTCATGTATTTTTGTAATGCTACAGTAGATAATTGAATATGATGAAATATCAGTCTCACTATATACTAATTGGTACTGGAATCTTAAAGGAAGCTGAATTAATTTTGTTTCTGTGCATTTTTCTCTTTGCAATCTATAAAGATACAATTTGAACATTTCCAAATTATCATTCTCATCATTTCTCTTTTAATATAGGTATTTGTGACAAAGATGCATTCAGAAACAGTACAGTATTTGAAAAGACAAAAAAATACTATGTCTATTAGTGTTATATACGTATAGTGTAAACATGATTAAAAACCTGCTAAAAGTGCTATTTTAATTTGCCATACAGTAGGTGATGCAGTAACTTCAGTTAAAAATATCACATA